CAAGTCTTCTCTTTCCAGGGTGTGGCTTGTCTTGGAGAGCCTTCAAGAAGGATGAAGATGTAAGAGGATCTTTGCGAAGGGAAGGTCCACCCTTAGATCCTCCTTGGAAAGACATCCCTGCCGTGTTCAACGGGTCCTCCGAGACATGAAGCTGATTGGCCAGTCTTAGACCTCTCAAAACCAGTTTTTCCTTAAATTTCTTTCCCACCTGATCGAAGCTCTCTACTTCCTCATGTTCTTTTCATATACTTCTTTCATTTCTCCACCTCTTCAACAAACGAACCTGCCTCAGTTTGGAATCCCATGCTGTCGCATTGCCTTTCGAGGGAATCCCATATGCCATGAAGTGCCATGTGACACTTCTGGGTCAGCTGTGCCCAGTCTGGCCAATGGCCACGTCCCGTTTCGCGCGCACGCCGGCGCGCTCCGTCTCGGCACCCGTCGAGTCCGGAGGCACCGGAGCTGAGCGACGGGCAACTGGCCTTTCGAGCTGGGGAGGAGTTGGGATCTGGGCAGGGCGGGAGTCGGGAGCTTCAAGTTGGGAAGGAGCCCCAGCCTGGGGTCTGTGACCCAGGCTGAACGCGTTCGGTAGCGAAGTTTGACTGATGCTTTGGCAAAACGGGGGACTGGAAGGTTGAAAAGGCCGTGGAAAATCGCCCGTGGCTGCCCGTGAAAACAGGGTGAAAGGCCGTTTCACAACCTATCAAAATTCGGTCTTGGAAGTTGGGAGGTGAAATGCGTCCTTCACCCTAACACACCTGCTTGACTTGTCCTTTCGACTTGCTGGGATGAGGGGAACTGAAGGTTTTACACATGCTTTTCAATGGTCAGGTCGGGTCAAGAGGCAAAACAATCCCACAAATGGCCACAGTCCGAGGCCAAAAAAAGGTGGTTTCGCTACGTAAGCTTCTCTCCAAACAAACATGGTCGTCGTACTAGGAAACACCGAATCTTGGACGGTCCAGTTCTGATTGAGGAAGACTCAGGGCCTAAGGTTGGCGAAGCGGATTCCATGGGGCTGTGGCTAAACAGAACATCGAAACTCCCCTGCTTAAAGACACGAAAAGACCAGGACCTCAGGCCCTGTGATTTGCTGTTCGTTTTTGGAGCCCAAAGACCATGGCATTCCGTCTCTCCATTCTTCCACGCCCTGGCAGGAGTGTTTTGGAGCACTGGTGCGGGGCTACAATGAGAAGTTGCGATCGCCTTGGGGGCACCTGGGTCCCTTGCCGTTGAAGACCGGAAGAGACCAGACAAGCCACGGGTTGCTCTGTTCCCAAACATTGTAGATCCGTGAGCATTTGTCTGGCAAGTCCTTGTGTTCCTATGGATTTCCTCCAGTCAGATCTTGACTCTCCAGATCCTGAAATTCCAGATCTTCAATCTTGAATTCTGATTTTTATTTGTCCCATCACTTTGCCCCCTCTCAATTTCAGGATCCTTCGCCACTCTGATCACTTCTCCGTAGCCAGCGCGTGTCGTGCGTAAACAAGGGCCCGTGGATTTCAGGGTGGAGAACAGGGTTCTCGTATCTAACCCTCCGACTCACGTTCCATGGAAGTGAATGGCATGGACACTTTGATGACGGTTTTCCGTTGCAAACAGGGTGGTGTCTGTGGAACCATCTGAGTGAGTCGGAGTGTACATCGTGAAGATAGCTTTGCTCTTGAAAGAGCTTGAAAGATGGACGTCGCATAAGGGCCATGATCTTCTTGATATCAAAAGGGCATGAAAGTGAGGACTTTCATCTATAGATCCCCACATTCAGCGTGAGCAGCGCTCGCGTCACGGAATCCGTCATTGTCTCACTTGTCTTGGTGTTTTGAGGCAACTGGAAGCTGCGAGGCTTGGAAGTGGGCTTGCCCAGTGGCCGTTATTGTGACTCGTCCTGGTCTGCACCGCGAATCGCCCTGTGCCCGAGCGCTGGGATCTAGGGGTGTTGGTCTCAGGGCCACGCGAGCGCAGGAGGCCGGTGGGGTGTCACAGGACCGAGCTTGTCCATCAGGATGTAAGGGAGCTTCAAGAGCATTTGTGCCACTGGCCTAGCAGGCATTTCAACATGAGACCTGTGGGATCCTGTGGGACTCACTTCCGCCAGGAAGCAAGGGTTGTTGGGGATGGTGCGGTCGCCCCATCCAGCTGCCAGACCCTGGACTCGGTTGGGGGAGTGGCTCAGACCCACCCTGCCCGCCCGCCCCAGTCTTGCTTGAGGCGACATGGGGTCCCTGTCCACGCGCCGTGAATGGGATCGAAGGCATTGCCCGCGGCAGGTGGTCATTGGCACGGATGGCAGGAGTGGATGGGGATGGGGATGGGAGTGATAGATGGGCCAAGAGCGAAGGATCCTTGCTGAAAAGAAGGTACCTTTTCAATTCATGTTGGGGTTCCTCTGATTGAACCTTGGCCTAGGCGACATGAGAGCTGTGAATATGACCAGTCAACACACTGCGAGATATATACCCTACTATGTTTTAGAGGGGTATGGAGCCAATTGCAAAATCACTGAGTCAGTCATAGCCTCTCATATGCTGGCTATGCTTCCGGTGACGCTTTTGTGTCTCTGGAATCAGGTGACCGTGACCAAGCGGCTGCCATGACTCAGCAACATTACACAAAGCTGCCATTCCACAAGTGGGTGAAAAAACATTGAACTTTTGCCTTTTTGCAAAAGTTCCAGATCACTTGGTGCTTTTGCAAAAACAAACATAGCTGCGACGCTTTCGCCTGATGAATCCGTGTGCTTTTTCATCACTCGACTCTTTCATGCCGTGCTTTTCGCGTTGAGGATCTTGAGTGGATTTGTCCGGGAGGGCGACCTCCTGGCGATCTACGTGGGAGGACGTCTCTCATGACGTCAGGGAGGGCGACCGTTCGAACGAACCGAGAGGCGAGCGGGGTGTGTTTTTGAGCGCTCGAAAGACTGAGCTCACCCTGCAAGTGGCAGAGGGATCTTTCCTTTGTCATCCAGCCATCTTCCCCTAGATTGGTGGTTTGGATCAGAGTTGTTTGGGGACTTTTGGCCTGTCACGTGAGCTTCCCATCGCCATGGTGAACTTCTTCGTTGGATCGAACGGTCCTGGTGCTTTGGCCATGAAGACTCCACTCCTTTCCGAAGTGCCTGGCGCATCTCTTGGTGCCCTGGGAAGTCCATGTGGGTCCAAACCGCGGGACCCTGGTTGACCCCAAGTCAACTGAACCGATCCCTTTATGAGGGATGTCAACCCAAACCCATGGTTTGGTGGAGCAGCTTGGGTTCCTCTCATGTCACCGAAAACACCATGTCAGCCCCTCTTCCACAGGGTCGCAGGTGGAGCTTGTCAAAGGTCTTCTTTTGGTCCCAAGGGTTTGACCTACTGCTCATTTCGGAGATCCCCCCCCCAAAAAATGACGTATCAGATTGACGGACACTTCAAGGCCAAGCAAACTTCAAGTTCCTGCAGATCAACTGGCTGGAGGAAAACAGCAAAGCCTCAATGGGTTTTCGCAGATCAACCGAAATGGGGCCTAGGAGCAGCTCCTCCCTTGTTATTTCAATCATCAGTTTCAATCAACCTGAGAACCACCAATCTTGAGGGCTGGCTGGGAACGTGACCCATCTAGGGGTTTTGAACGTCCTCCTTTCGGTTCCGCGCATCCGCCGAAGAAATGCTGGTGCCGGACTGTGCCGTGGCCTGTCTGAGGTTCCCAGTCCACACCAGACATCTGGGTAAAGATCGGCACAGAGCATCCTGTAGAACTCGTTGATCGCCCCCAACAACAAAGAACCTGGCATGGTTTGAGGAAACCCTAGGCTCTAGGGTTTAATTGTCTTACTCACGTCCAGTTGGAGAATCTGAAGCCACTAGATCTTGAGATCAAAGACCAGTGATAGGCGACATGGGGATCCTTAGCCTTAGACATGCCGACACGGCCTGTCCCTTTGAAAGGGCCCTCGGAGCACTGTCTGACCCAACGAAAGGGGGCAGCGTTCAGTTTTCAGTCAGATTTTCATGATATCCTTCTTGCTGTTCGCGGAGTTTGCACCATTTGAATTCTGCACGCCTCGCAGTGGTTCCGAAGCACTTGGCCTCACAGGGCCATTGCTGATAGCTCGCTGTTGGTTGCTTTCCGTGCTCAGCACACTTCAACCTACAATAGCGTGGCTTTCAGCCACTCAATGTATGGGCACCACTTTCGGGTCCAGTGACACTGGTGCTTTCCAACCTCGGTGAACAAACCTCATTCGAGTGAGTGACTAGGACCCGATGGTGGGCCTTCAGTGGCTGGAGGCCACTCTGTTCAAAGAATTGGGTGAAGAAGATAGCTGACGCACGAGGTCCCCGCTGCCTTTTCGCGCGTTTTTGCCTCCCCGACCCTCGGCTCGAGGGTGGGGCGGGGGAAAGACTCGTCGCAGCGAGGAAAGCACGGCTGCCAAGGCGACAGGTGGTAGGAACACCCAGTAGATAGCACAGACCGCCCCGTTTCACGAAGCATGTTGGGCTCGGTCGCACGTCCATGTGATGGAATCCAGGGGTTTTTGAGCGTTTGGTCCGAAGAGTTCTCGACTTTTGAAGAAATTGCATGTATTTTCCCCCCAGAGATCCAGATGGGCTTCTGTGCTCCTTCTTGTCTTTCTGAAGTCTCGAAAAGGGGATGAACACCTCGCCAAGTGGAGGGTCCTGCAGGGATGAGAAGAAGCGGATCTCTAACCATCCCTTAGTTGGTGTACACTCTTTGCCTGCAAGTTGTCAATGAAGCAAAACAGCTTTTCAATCTTGCTGGGTGTGCATGTTTGCAGCCATAAGAGGCGTGTGCTTGACAAGATTGATGCAGAAAGGAAAAGAAAACACATCAGAAGGCTGGCAGTCTGAGACGGTCTAAAGAATCCAAAGACATTTGCAGCATGGCTGGGCTTCTCATGGCTTCTCATATGGAGTTGCGCCCAGGTCGAAGCAGGTCAGAGCAAGTTGTGCACAGACTGCAATTCGACAGTCAGAAGATTGGCAAGTGCTTCCACGTCACTTTTTCCTGTTTTGGGAACCGTATCAGTTCCTGTTTGAGCTGGCGATCCTGAAGACCGGGGTCTGGGGTTCATGGCCATGGTGCCGTCATGAGTGCCGGCATTTTCCACCTGCTTCTTGGCAATCAGAGGTCCGATGCGTGAATGTTGCCGGCTCTGCAGCTCCTGGAAGATTTGTTGCTTCAGAGGGGCGTTTCATTCGTTGAAACCGGCCGCTCAAGACAGGTAGTGTCATGGGTTCCTGTCGGGGGATGGCTGGGTCCCAGCCCCTTTCAATTTTCATACGCATACTGTACTATATATGCATATACCATACATATACATATATTACATATACATACATGTATACAGCATAGATTAATATAGCCACCTTCAAGCCAAACCCAGTGAGGCTGTGGCTAGCTTGTACGCTGGCCGCGCAGGCACGTGTGCTGCGGTTTTGATCGCTGGAAGAGCTTTCGGCAGCTACCAAGCTATGTTTCAGTGCTATGCGACTGACAGATCTCTGGCATCTACTTTGCCATTCTCGGCTCTTGAAGGAAGAACTCCCACGTCACTTGTGCTCCACCTCTGACAGTTCTTTTGCCACAGGATTTCTATGAATCTGTCTCTTTCTCCTTCCCTTCAAAGCCTGGCCCGAAGACCCGCCTCTGTTTGGAGTGACGTTTCCGGCATTTTCCTGTTTTGGATCGCCGGAAAATTGGAGTTGGTGTAGCTGCTGTAGGCTTTTTGGAGCAACGTCTAGAGTTGTGGCAGTTCTGAACGAAAACCACGCGGCGACTTCCGAATTCCGAATATAATTAATTTTTTTGATCTTTTTGGAGCAACGTTGCAACGCCCAAACTGACCCGAACTGAGACCGATCGTGTTCGGGCCAAAAAAGCACGACCCGGACGGTTGAAAAGCTAAGAGACACGTCCATGGTCAAGGCCCCAACAACATTTTTTGATAGATTTTTCCTTTAAGCTTTGTAGGTGTAGGCTTCCCATCTCCGTGATGGGTCTTTTCCATGCGTCTCGATGGCAAGCGTCTTCCAGCGCCTTAGTGCGTCTCGCAGCGACCTGTGCAGGCGACCTGGATCAAGGCCGTGGTGAACCCACTCAGTGACCCACCTCCCTCGAATCGCTACGAGCACTCGGCGGTGATCTTCAACGACACCGTGCTGGTCTTTGGAGGTGCTTTGAGAGTTCTGAGTTGGACATATCTTTTTAGTTTGACTGGTGGCTTTAAAGATGAGAACTTACCCAACTGGTGGGGCACACCGAGGTGAACATAAATCACTTATTTCCCACAATTTCGTTTAGTAAAGGCCCCTCCCTTTTTAAGCACATTTAAGTTCAGCGTTCACCAGAAGCCTGGTTTGTGGTTTCTTATCGTTCGTGCAAGACACACCATGCCATGTAGCCCTCGCCCCACTGTGGCCCGCTCTGTTCGTGACGAAGGTTACTACATCACGCCTGGCGACGCGGCTTCGGAAGTGGTGACTGTGGACATGCTCCAAAACAAATGGAACATGTACTCCAAAGACGAAAGAGTGGGTATCAACCTATCGACATCCTTTCTAGCATAAGCCAGAATCCAAGCTGTTTCTGTAGCTACGGAATCGGCGGAACTACAGGCTTTTCCGCCCACAATTCTCGAGCGTCTTCCGTGCCCAAATTTGAGCATTTGATTTGGTGGAATGGCCAATTGTTCCAGATTGAAAAGAGTAGAGCCCTAGTGACCCTAGTGATGGATGGGTTTGGAATGCACGGGCAGGGCATGCCTTGCCTGAAAGCCACCACCATCCGCCCGTTGGACGAGGAATCGGATTAATTTTGGAGACATTTCTTTGAAGAAAGAAACACCTGCAGAGAGCAGTCGGTTCCTGCCTGAATTTGCAGGGTGTTCATTTGTAGGATTTGCGGGGTGTTCTCTTAATTGGGTTCATCGGTTCATCTCAGATGGTGCAGGATATTCATTCCATCAAGAACAGGGATGCCCTTTGAATCTTTCTTTCTTGATCCATGAATCTGGGAATGCATGAATGACGATGAACGCATCTACCACCCGAACCTGTGGAATTTTGAAAACAAAGGACACGTCTGGAGTGAGACATCCGTGTCTTGAGTGTTGCGTGGCCAGCTCCGAGTGGTGGAATTTCTGTGCTCTGAGGTTCTCGCTTCGATGACTTGTACTTTTGGGATACGCAGGCCTTGAACCGAGAACCTGCGCATGCGGTGTCATCGAGACTGAGGTGTCAATGCGCCGTTCAGCCAGACGGTCGGGTCGGTGGATTTGGGACATCCTTTTGTTGTGGTTCGTGGAAGGGTAATTCTCCCTGGAACTAACATGGAAGTGGAAAACCACCTGTTTGTAGTGGATTTCATGGTCTTCCTTACGGGGCCAGGCCATCCACGTAACCATGTGAATTCCAGGGAATGTAGTTCTCTTGTAAAACATGGTGGACCAGCCAGGGTGTTGACTTTGGGAGTCAGGCATGAGAGCTGGCTCGTCACGGACTTTTTGGTGGAGTTGAACCACCGATTTGGGATCTCCAGTCGTCATGATGAGACGATCACAACGCCTGACTCTTTAGGCAACTGGTCCTGCTTCTTCTTTCAAAAGAAAGAATGGTCACTCAAGTTTTCGGACTTCCATCCATATATCCTTGATTAGCCTCCGACTTGATTGCAACCTCTTGACTTGATTGTGGATTCCACCTCGCCAGATCCACTTGAAAAAAGACGCAGGCCACCACATTCTCCTCTCATTCTGTGACCATCTTTGAGATCCACTTCGCCCCTTACCGCAAGGTCCAAATGTGGGGCCTGGTGCCAGCCCCGAACGCGCCGCCCGCGCGATCGTTGCACACGGCGGTCATGGACTTGAACCACAGCGCCTTGAATGCAGTTGGGGTGGTGGGTGGTACACTGGTTTCACAGGTTTGATGGCGCTGGCACCCCCAGATGTCTTTTAGGTAAGATCCATGTAGGACTTGGTTGGACTTGTGAGTTGGGCCACTTGGATTGGATTGAGTTGCTTTTTGCCGTTTTTCATGGCTTGCTTCGTCGGTGACTCAATTGCTTGGCTTGGTACCTTGGATTGGTTGCACCTGGTCCGCGAATGGGTAGGTCCGTGGTGGGGCCCTCAAAACCGGTGCCTTCATCCCAAACCAATCCAACTCGTCCGGGTTTTCCGTGGATTGCTTCACCGACCACTGAGGCATGTGGGTCTTTGGTGGCGTGGATGACAGTAGCAGCCGGGGGACCCAGGTGTTTCATTCAAAGAAGAGAGGCAGCTCACCCGCTCACCTGCTCATCCCATGTAGGCAGTAGGAACCAACGCCTGACCAATGTGCACAAGTAGGCCAGCAGTGTGTCTCTGTTTTGTGAAGTGTGTGCATAAAAGCTAAGCACAATTCAACACATGTTTGAGCATTTTGTCTGAGACCTCGGCAAGTTATGCATGGACCTTCAGCAGAATCGTACTGGAGACCCAACAACATTTCCATGACAATACTTCTTAGAGGAAAGCTCTTATGCAGAAGGATACTTGACTTCTGCAAAAGGCAACGATTTTGTATGGGGGGAGAAAGTTGCATTGAGGAGGGGGTTCAACCAAGGACCTCACCTGTTTATTAGGAGAAGGCTAGGATGAGGAATAGATACTCTGCACAGGAGATCCTTGTCAAGAAGGCCTTGACAGAGGATGAGGGTTGAACAAATGAGTCTCAAATTATGAGAAAAACCCTGTCTCATAAAGAAGACACAAGACTTAGAACGCAAACAACAAGGTTCAGAGGTTGAGGCTTGGTTTTGTCTCACGCATTTGTTTTGGTATACTTTGTTTAAAGGTTTTGTGGTTTTGCATTCCTCCAGTCCGAGCAATATGAGCTTTGGACCGTTTTGCCTTTCCCCGAAACATTGTAAAACGCAGTGGTTTTGACCGCGTGCAGCAGTTGTTTTTTCCATACAAAAGTAGCTCAACACCGTACACCTCGATTGTGGAGATGTTGTTGGAGAGGGTTTGCAAGAAATCGGCACGAAACAGGGCTTATGATGGAGTTTTAGGAAGCACATGCCCCTCCAACTATACTTATACCACCCCTTACTGTTTAGAAAGGCCACCCACTGAGGTCGCCCCCCAAAAGAAGAACCCTTCCCAAGAACCCAACAAGCAGTTGTCCACTTCCAGATCAAGACTTTCCAACTACCCATCAGCCCGGTCGGTCCAGATTTGCCCACCACTGTTGCATGGCAGGTCATTTCGACGACCTGTACATCATGGATATACAGGCGGGTAAAAGGGCATCCTTTTTTCGTGAAGATCTCAAATCAGCAGAACATCTTCAGGAAAGAGTGCCTGGAGTGCCTGTGTCAGGTTGTTAGCGGACAAAAGAGCCATCAGCTTTGATCCTTTTTTCTTGGTGAGTGTTACGGTTTTGGGTCGAACAGCCAGAGGACATAGGTTGCAACAAGGAAAATGAGGTCCGACCAAAGGTGCCCTTGAGAACGACCCATTGAACTCCTAGATATAGGCCTATGGGTCTCTGATATAACCTTTTTGCATTCTCGAAGCCCTGCAATCCTGAGAGTAGATCGGAACCTGAAGGCCGATCTAAGGCCTTCAATCGGATCCAAGGCCTCCAATCCTCAGATCTGGCTTTTTCTGCTTGTCACTAAGGTGTCGCCGTCCTGGACTGCCCTGAGTGCTACTGGCACTGCCCCATCTGCACGTGCAGGGCACAGCGCGGTGATGGAGAGTGGCACACGCATGTGGGTCTTCGCCGGAGAAGGTGCTAGTGGCTCGCCTGATCTGGGAGTTTGGATCCACAAATCAGATGGACATGGGAATGACATACAGCTAAACAACCTGGCAGCCAGAGACCTCTTGACCTCTCCCAGTAAGTCCAGTCCGAAGAGAAGCAAGTCTCTCTGGCTGCTTTCAATTGCGGGAAAAGCACAAATTCTCGGCATTTTGCAAAGTTGAGATCCCACTGTCTCATTCCCCAAAGCCAAGCATGAGGATCTTGGAGATTCTGAACATCCTCATGCATGCTTGCTCATCCTCTCTCAGGGCACGCACATTGGGGTTTGAGTTTGTTGGGCTTATTCCCATTCTTTTGGTGTGTGTTCTTTTCTATCATCCAGCGACAAAATCAAACTGGCTTTCTCGCTGTTGAAATCTGGTTTTTGCATGAAAAGAAAGCATGTTTCTAAACCGGTGCTGTTTGTTGCTCTGACTCTGTCTCTGCAGCACTGTGGTTTGTCCCCATGACATGGCCCATCGGTTCTGAGAACAAGTCGGTGATGTTTTTGTTGCGTTGCGGCAGATATATAGTGAGAGGGAGTGGGGGCTGCATTGTTATACGTGTTGTCAAGCATTGAACCAAGTTTCACTTATTCACAGTATGCTATAAATGCTGGCATCGAACAACAAGTTGTCAGTCTTTACAAGTCATCATATCATCATAATCAGTCAGACCGTTGTCATCATTTCACTGCCCTGAAATCATGCTTGCTTTGAGGTGACTCAAACAAGAGGCGGTCGAATAAATCTGTAGATCTACTCCCAAGGCATCTGGCTTTTCTGCATCGAACCAACTGAACCACTATGGCCAAAAAAAGGGGGTGCCGTGCGGGATCCCGGATGAATCCAGTCAACCAACGAAGGAGGATTGAGGGTGTGGGGGCCTCAGGCTATGTGATCTTCAATGACTTGTACTACTTGGACCTGGAGGTGCTTTTCATCGGCGACGGCTGAGCCAACAGCGGTCGCGCAACAGCGCTCGCGCAACAGCGCTCGTGCTCGCGCGTGGGGTGGGTGATCTTTGAAGCGGTGGTGCCGAGCTTCGGTGCTGTTTATTTTTTTGAAAAGGTTTTGTGGTCTTCATCTCTGAGTGTGACAGTGTGTGAGCTGAGAGAAAGTAAAAGAAAGGGAGTTCTTGTTGCATCTGCGGATTGTGCATCATTTTTGCTCTCTATACTTTTGGGTAGGAAGCCTCTGAATCGTGGTGCGAGGAAAGCTTGCGCTTCATAGGGTTTCTGGCCACTGACCAACAACAAAAGGACGTCGCAGGAGCCAGGTAACTGCAGATACGCTCTGATTTTGCGTAGTTTTTGTTTGGGGGGTATGTGAATTGAAGGCAATACATTACATCAAACTATCTACCCTTTTACTTTATTGACATCTTTTGAGTAAAGCTCTGTCTGAACTCAATGAACCGATAGTAATAGTGTATATATACAGTGGACATGGCCCATGCCATTCAGAGACAGATAATAAGTTAGCAACTTCCTTGGCACTTGTCTCATGTCTCAGATTCCCAACATGTTCTACACACATACTTTTTCACCTCGATCCCATTTGACGGTTGTTTTGACAGGACCAATACCATACTTTGAGTGGGTGGTCCAAAATAGAGGTCCCTCCGTCAGCCTTGGTCAAGAGAACACAGCTTTGGAACCCGCTTCATGTCGTCGCCCCCGACGCCCATCGGCACTTCGTCTGGCCCGACCGCGGCCAGACGCTGGAGTGGACGGCAGTGGCCGCCAGTGGTGCTGTCCCGGCGGCGCGGATGCTGCACAGCGCGGCGGTGGAGGGGCAGCGCATGTGGGTCTTTGGGGGCTACGATGGCACTGGCTCTTCAGGTGGGGTGTGGGGTGTCGAGGAGGGCGGGTGATGGAGGTGATGGAGGACAGGTGATGGAACTCTGAAGAAGAGGGTGACGTGCCACCAATTTCTGGGAAAGAGGGGGATTTGCATCATTTTCTTGGTGGCTCCAGCTTGGCGTTCTTCAGCCAAGCTGAGACATTCTAATTGGCAAGCTTGGAGCAGATAGGAAATCCAGCTGGTACTGGGCTTGCTGGGCTCCAACGTTTGATCCTTTCGCACCGGTCCAAACCTGGTCCGGTTGCGTCTTTGGGGCCTAGCCTTTACCAAGAAAAGCAATGAAGTGATTCAATATTCCCTTCAATTCATTTCATACATGGCAGGAACTAAACCTGTTCAGACCATCCGACCCCCCCCTTCCGACTCGATTCCGCCCGCGAATCGGGGGCCTCGGTTGTCCGCACACCGGGGCTGTGGACGTCCGCTCTTCCATCGAAAAGGGCGCCCGTCGTTCGATCGCCGACGTTCACCGATCGAAGAGGGTTTTCAGTGGGAAGAGGGCGGCACAGCCGATTTGCAAAAAAAAGGGAGGTGAATGGCCTTTTCAGAGGAACGATGCCGTGAACTGGGACCTCCGCGCTCACCGGACCGAGCGAGTTTTGGGAGATGTATGCCATTCGATTGTGTTGGCTCAATCCCAGAAAGCCCTCTTCATATGGCCTTCCCAAGTCGCATGATGACTTCAACATATTTCGACCCCCAATCTCCAAAAGCGTTTTGTTGGGGTCATCTGACTGAATCAGCTGCCAAGGCTACTTGAATGACCTGCACTATTTAGACTTTCAGGCCAGTCGCTGTGCCACGACTCGTTGCTTGAATCGGAACATGGTTTGTGCTTGGGTTTGACCGTGGCGCCAGGTCTGAAGAAACTGTTTCCCCCGAAAGTAATCCATCTCCACTTTCAACCATGGGTTTCGTCGTTCTTTCCTTCATGTTCTGTCCAAAAATGACCAAAGATACATCCCAGAGGTAGTATCTACAGTGATCAAACCCACGGTGGTCCGGCCTCACGGTGCTCCGGCCATCGGTGTTTCGCCCAGATGGAAGCCTGGACCGCCGTGACGGCCACGGGTATGGTGCCCAGTGCCCGTCGCGGGCACAGCGCGGTGATGGATTTTCACCAGGCAGACGGGAGCACCGACGGACAGGGACGGACGGACGGAGGTCCGACAGCACTGGAGAGTGCCCAATCTACCGGACAGGGTTCGGTGCGGTGCGTGCGTGCGTTGGGTGCAAGTGGGATCTGATTCTTTGGTGGTTTGGGGTTGGCTCTGATTCGGGGAGAAAACCGAGAAGACTTCCGGAAAGAGGAGGATGTCTTAAGGGAGGTACAAGTCGTGAAGGAACGATGACCTTTCGCAGGATAATCTTGTGGAAAGAAGCCTTTACCAAGAGCGTATATGCAATTATCAGGAGGGATGTACAGACTTGCTCCAGGTTTCTGCAGTATAAAAGCCATCCAGAGAGGCAATTCCTATGAACACAGCTTCTTATACGTACATGTACATTCACTTATCCACAAACAACATTTGACAAACAACATTTTTTGGGGTAGCTTGTGTTTGTATAACTTGAGCTGCAAAGTCCACCGAGTTTTCACAGACAAATCTTTAATCATATCAGCCCCCTGCTACTGCGCTGCTTAAATTCGCGTGTTGGACCGGGTAAGACAACGAGTCCTCAACTGTCTTCGTTGTTTGTCTTCGTTAATGAGTGTCTGGTCGCCAGGGCATGTGGGTCTTTGGTGGATATGGCGGAGGCAGCTGGGCAGAGCAGGGCGGAGATCTGCTGGGAGGAACCCCTCCCCTCCAAGAAAGATACACACCTTTTGGATGACACACTGGCTGAACTAGACGCGGCCATTCATCCAAGTAGTAGAGTCGAGGTCATTCGTCCAAGCAATGTGTAGGGTCGTTCGAGTGGACGTGAGCGAAAGCAAGACCGATCGCCTGACTTTGCAGTCTATCCACGATCGACATCGTAGACCTTGCGGAGCGTCCGAAGAATCTTGGAGGACATTTCCAGACTAACTTCCCCTTTCTTGCGAGGTTGAGGATTGGACCAAAATCTGGGTCAGCCTCTTCTGGTTCAGCCTTTAAACAGGCTTTAGGGGGAAAACAGCCCATGACCACTGCCGCCAGCTGGAAACCCGAATGCGATCCATTCGGGGCTGTTAAAAGCCCTCGCCGTCCGAACGGGAGGTTTCAGGAATGACCTCTACTACTTGGATGTCCAGGCAGGATTTCTGTTTTCTGACTCAAGTGCTCATGCAGGTATTGACTCAAGTACGAAGAGTAGGAGCATACTGCTCAAGGTACAGTATGTATATTTATATAATCATAAACTTATTTTCTAAAAAATAACATGGAAACCCCTCCGTTCTATGGAGGGGAGTGGGATCGGGGTGGGCGGCACGCCCTGCACGTTCTCATTCCCAAATCCTGAGAAGCAAGGACGATGTTTCGGGGGGAGCTTCACCTGTGGTCCCTAGCGATATGGAGATACTATAGCGACATAAAGCTGAACCCCCCAAAAAAGCTCATGGTTTCACAGCTCCTTGAGCCTTGAGAAGGTCCAGAAAGCATAGCTTCAGGGGGGTGCATGGCAGGTCCGGAGCCTTGAGAAGGTCTGGAGCCTTGCTGTCAGGGGACCCTTGCCTTCTTTCGGGTGGCACCAGCTGCATCAATCCCTGAACATGACTTCGTTCACGATCACTTTGTTCAGATGTTTTCAGTTGGGCATTTGGATTCCATTGGGCAGAGTGAAGTGGTCTTGACCTTGGTGTCGAAAGCAGCTCCGTCGTTTGCACCCACCAAGCCCATGAATGTTAGCTGAACAAGTGAGCCACTTCAACGCAGAAGCTATCTTAGCATGCCTTAGCATGCCTCAGTGACCAATGTCCTTCGTTTTTCAAGTCTCCCAACGAAATGCCTTTTGTATTTGCGTTTTGTTGTTCAAATCATCGGCCTTGGCGTTCTCGTCGTCGGACTTGGCGTTCTCGTGCCGGTTCGGACGGGGGCGGGGCCGACGCACGCGCCGCGCGTGGCAGGCGGAGACCTGGACGGAGATCTCCGATGGCTCCGGAGGGTCGGAGCCTTCCGGTCGTCTCTCGGTGAGCGTGAAATACGGGAGATGGAGATGAGGTGAGAAAGTGGTGTGGTGAGAGTGAAAAGGGAGGTGAGAGTGGAAGGAAGCTGGGTTTTCAGGTTCTGGGGTTCTTGTTCGTCCTTGTGGGGTTCTGAGAACTCTTGAAGGACGAACAAGAAATCAGACTGGATTCCTGCAACTGGAAGCATGGCTCACTCTGACGGTCTGCCGGGAGCAGAGGCGAACGAGCCTTGATTATGTGCCACACAACCCATGTCCCATCTGTTCCCGGAACCTCCCGCATTGTCCTCCTTTCCATGGAGTGGTCTTTTCCCACCCAAAACACCCGGTGTCCGGACTCCCCCCTTTCGAGCCGGCCCGGGTCCTTCTCCCCGGGTACTTTCGAGCGCAACGAGCACCATTCCCTCAGGCGCCTCGCATGGCGCGGTGGTGGACTCTCTGGAGCGTTTGTGGATCTTCGGAGGCCCGACGGTGCGATAGAGAGACGCGAAAGAGATGGTTACAGTAGGTGGTCCCTATAGAGTCTCCTAGAGTCCTAGAGGTGGTGATTCCTGGACCTGGATTTTTCAGGAGAAAACCAGCAAGGTGAAATGATTGGGACCCTTCTGGTGCACCGGTTCGCTTCTGGAAGGGCTTTGTAGGGCTTGCTCGGTGCGAGCCCCGGTCCGACTCGGGTGGCCAAACCTTCCGAACAACGCTACGGAGGTGGGTGGGTCGTTGACATCTCAGGAGATGGGTCGGTGAAAGGATCGAAGGTTTTGGAGTGAAAGGCTCGGCATTCGGTCATCGGGCAGTCCAAATCACTGAGTCAAGCCAACGGGCTGGTTTTTCCGCTGGTCGCTTGGTGGTCCTACCCTTGGTCGCATGGCGCTGGACTTCTGGGACTAAATCCGTCGCCACTTCTGCGCTTTTCAACCCAATCCCATGGCACAGAACACTCAGAACACTGTTTCTGATCCAAGTTCAGCAAGGCTTCGACAACGACTGGTACTACCTGGAGCTCAAGGCTCACGGCCTTCTCGTGTGGCGCGGCACGCGAAGGGGGGGGGCTTTTACCGCGCGAGATCGCGACAAGAGTCAGTGTGTGTTTTGAGCAGCTCCGTTGACCTTTCCGTACCCCCAAATAGATAGACAAGTAAATCCCCACATAGAAAATGTATTGGAAACTGTGCCACTATCTATTTGGAGACCACTTCTTGGTGCTTTTTGGACTGACATCCTGAGGTTCTGACATCGAATGTGAATATTGGAACATGCCCAATTGCCCCCCCACACACTATGGTTGAACACCACGTTTCATGTATGGAATAATTGAGCAAAGACTCGAAGGACGTCAACTTTTTGCTGGGAAGACGCCAAGACGCCGGGTCTAGACGCCAAGCAACTGCCAGACTGCGACGCCTACCACCGTAAGCTTCTGGGAGCAAAGAAGCTGTGGAGGGGGGGGCCGTTGGTGGCGGGACATGGCGGGACAAGCCTCAAAATCTACTGAAAGTCGAAGAAGCAGGAACAGACCCTCAGCCAATGGGTTTTGGTCTCCTTCTTTCAGGGGGGTCTCCCTAATTCAATATACACCCAGTTGGGGTGTGGCATCTCAAAGCCACGAACGGATGAAGACCTGCAGGACGGTTTGGTGGGGGTGAAAACCCTTGTTGACGGCTTCGGCTTCGGATTCGAAGGGATGAAGACAAAAGCCTGTAGAGTAGATGTATACATGGGTTTTCAGGACAGGGCTGATCCCGCCGGTGTTCTTGCTTTTCGTCCTCCACGCTCTTAGAGCATTGGGTTTCTGGGCACCAGGGGTTTGGGCACACTACAATGCCTATTCAAATACACACCCAGCTGATGAGAGCTGCAGAAATCTTCAGCCGCAATAGACCGGTTTCCACGGGTTCAGACTCGGGCCATGGCCCGAGTCACCGCCCCATTCAGAGCCTTGGCCTTTTAATTCCAATGGGGATGGTTGATACATCAAGACTCGACATTGCAAGAGCTCCAGACCTGTGAGATGTTGAGGCCAGACCTCGATGACTTCGACGAGTTCGACCCCGACGTCCACGCTGTCGAGCTCGACCAGCACGAGCAGCTCGAGTAGTTCGAGCACCACTTCGAGCACCAGTTCCAGCAGCACAGGTAGCACCACCTGGAGTAGTTCCCTGGCCTCAAGCGAGGGGACTGCTGCCGAATTCAGTGCTGTCTTTTCGATAAAGCAAGGGCATTTCTTGGGCATCATTTTGCCCGAATATTTGGGGTGGGGCAAGGAACTCGCCGTCCACTGAGAAGAAGACACTTGTTTTTGTTGAGAAGAAGCCTTGCAGAGCCCCAAAGAACTGGAGCATCCCCTCTTTCAGCCTCTTTCAGTTCTTTTCTTTCTCCACATGGTCCTTCATGGTATCCGTGTTTGGGGTGTTGGTTTCTATTTCTTAACAACTTGTGGGACTGCCAGCTGTACTCCAGCTGGTACAAAAAGAACCGGAAGACAGTCAGGCCTCTTTTCGCGACAGAATTGCAATCGACTAGTGAGCAGGTAGGTGAACTCTACCTGTCTGGCGACCCATTTCCATCCTCTTGGGAACGAGACTCGGTCCTCTTGGGAACTGACTCCCTTGCGCCGAAGAAATTCGAGGAGTTCTCACCCTACAGGTCCAGGAGAAGACCCAGGTGAAACCCGGGAGTAGTGATCTCCTTGAGTAGTGATGAACTTCAGTAAAGCGATGCCTTTGACCTGTAGGGAAAGAATCTTCGTCCTGTGCAGGTCCAGTCCTGTGCAGGGAGGTGACGGACCCAAAGGGAGGGTCGGATCCATTAGTGCCGCCCCACATGTGATCATGTCACGTCTGGGATTGGATCCAGACGTCCACATGTCCATCCTTAAGACTGAATCCCAATGTAGACCGTTTTTCAGAACCCCATCCACCCATCCACCACATGGATTCCAAAACTTCTTCAGGCCTGGTGGCTTGAAACACCATCAACAGTCCTACATTGCAGATTGGGAGAGATTTCACCATCCCTCCATCCCTCTCCCTGTCACCCTGCTTGGCGTGGAGTGAACCAAACCCTACTTGGTCCGATGCCCCGTGGCCGCGCAACGGCCGCCGTCACCATAGGTGTGACTCTCGTCAGTGTCACCACCACCAGCCATGTGCCTAGCACCACGGTGGCCGGGCCGAAGAACGAGCAGAAGAAACGGTGTGGCGGGTGGTGGTCAAGTGGACCTGCACCACCGGACTGAGTGTTGCTTCAGGAACAAGACCCAGGAAGATCCTGGCAGGAAGGAAACTGGCAGTGACCAGGCCTACCGCCTACCTTTCCATGGTTGGTGTCTGTTTGGGTCGACACCTGGATGCGTTCTTTTTGGGGTTCTTTCCTGTCTTTGCGTGCTTTCGCAGTCGTTTCTGGGTAGAGATCCCCAAGCCCGAGCAAGAGGTCCTTCCAATCTCAGGGGCTGGTCCTTCTTCTTGCAGCGAGCCCACAGGGTTCACTTTTTTTGAATTCCTCCTTGGTGGAGTAGAGCTCCAGTTAACAACACCAACAGAGGTTGTGGGTGGGACGTTCTTGCTGGTTTTTGTTTTTGCCCGGGTGGTGCCCATGGCTCCCTACTCGGCTTTTGGATGGTGAAGACACCAAAGTTTTGTGGGTCCATAGGTTTTCCGCTTTGTGCCCGTTCCCTCTTTCCACCGGTGCAACCTGGTTGACGTCGACGAGCCACACAGGTCATGGATGTCCGGCAAGTGATGGATGAGTTGATGGTGCCTTGGATGCACTGCACGACCAGAACCCTCTTCAGCAGCCCCCTGCACAGGATTTTAATGCGAAGCAGCAGTGACTGCTGCATGCTGACTCTTCAAAACGGGGGTTGGGTCTCTCCAGTTCCCAGTTGTCTTTGTGACTCTGACAATAATCCGATTGGACATGTCGTTCTAGCAGCGTGCTGCTTGTAGAACTGCGGCAAGCGTGACCATCATCCACTCAGTCTTCCAAGACATATGGGATCATTACAGTACAGAAAGAGTGCTCATGGACTCATGGACATGGACTGCAATTCCTAACAAGCTTGATAGTACATGCAAAGACTTGAACAAACACAAGCAATGCGTATTTTGTTCTTCTTGGTCTGCTCCTCCTCTTCTCCATATCTCATCGGACTACCAAGATGACATGTCAGAACGGGTGTCATGGCACATGTCACAGCACATTGTTGTAATGCCAGGAAAACTCTGCGCAATTCCCCTCGCTGGTACGTCACATTTTTGTGTTCGACTCATCGCAAGGAGGGTCGCAACCACCCCAGCCCTCCCCAGTTTGCTACACATGCTGAAGCAAGTTTGATGAACGAAGCAACATCACATGTTGGATTCTTTTCCAGATGTGGACAAAAAGCGCTCCAAAAGGAGCCCACAACACTTGGGTGAGCACCACAACACTTTGGCCCGAGCCCGCCGCCTCTTTCCATTTCTGGGCCGAAGCCCGAAGCCCCGTGCGAGTCGGGACTGTCGGAGTGCCCTTCTCAGCCGCATTGAACTCGCGTGGGCACTGGTTTCAACTGCATGGAACTCGTCGGAGATCCAACTCATCCGATTCGGCATCACCGTGCCGTCCGAATGCCGTGCAACTCTGGTTTTTGGGGAGCAGGGCATTTGGAGTGATCGAGAGCCTTTGGTGGCTTTTAGCTTGGTTGCCTGACTAGGAAGCTCCACTTGCACTGGCCCTGTGTGTGTTCCCCGCTTTGACATTTTGTTTTAGGTGCCATCATCACATCTGACCATTCTCTCTTTCCACACGCCTTCTTACAAACTTTCGCGCCATCCGTCCTGGGCATTTTCTGAAGGTGGGCCTTTCCATTTTGGAGTTGGCATATCATGATTCAATCAAAGGAAATCAGTCCAAAACCTACCTTGGACAACTACAAAGCATGATCCAATCAAAGAAAGTCAGTTCAATACCTTGCCCCGGACCACTACGGAGACTTGTAGCCAGGCAGGGTGCAAGCATGAACTCCAGTTTGCCCTCCTTTCAGCATGGGTTCCTTCTGCGTCATAGCACATATCCCATAAAGACGAACATAATGTTGTTTACCTGTGAGGGGCTTTTACTGTTTTGAGCGGGTGCTTCTGCTGGTCGTAGGGTTTTTCCGCTTGTCTCAAATTGGCCCCGTTGGGCTGAATTGCTTGGGTCGCCTCTTTTGCGTTATCTCTAGTTGTCTCTGGCTGCGCTCGGGTCTTGGGTCACCTGGTATGCGGTGTCTCTGGCTGTCCTAGTTGTCTTCGGCCGTTGCCAGTTGTTTGTTCAGCGCAAGATCGTAGCTCAGCTAGACTGACTGACGTTTGCGACGCCTGCAAGAAAAGGACAATTTTTCTTTTTTAAATGTGTGTTTATCTTGTTTGGACCAACCTTCCACACTGCCAATTCTTCATTTCCACATGTTGGCATCACCGATGCCTGCTGGCACGAAGACGTCTACAAGCGCTGCGTTCGTACGGCTAACTGGACCCGTTGCAACGAGAGGGCTGGGACGCTTGAAAAAGCATGGTTCGCAGATGGTGCGAACCAATTCGCAGAATCACATGTTGGATATGTGGGACCTTCATGGGGTGCAACATGGGGCGCAACATCATCCATGGCCAGCTATGGCATGGGATGGCGAAGGGGTCTTTGGATTTTAGTTCCGCCACCATCTCCAGGCTTGTGGCTCCTCACCCATGCTTTGGAGCTCCCAGCGATCGACCGTGGAGGAGCCCAGAACGATGGAGGTGGGGATCTGTTGGACCTTGCTGCCCAGCAGTGTTTCTTCAGTTCTTTTTTCGTTTTTTTTGGCATCAGTTCCAGTAGAACCGATCCCATTTGCGCTTCACCCAGGTGGGTTCATGCCTACGACCTAGAATCTTTTTAGTTCTCAGCTACAATCAGCTATATTTTTTAATATGGAAGTCCTCCAAGTCCTCGAGTTCGGAGGTCATGGAGGAGTTGGAACTGGAGGTGGAGGTCTTGCCCTGTCCCTCGACCCAAACGGAGAGAGACCTGCGTCTCCGCGGCGTTGGTGTGGGGCAGAACGGGCACCATCCAGGTACGCCAGTGGTAAAATTGATGGAACTCAATACTAACAAGTAAAAGAGAATCAGTCCTGTTCTAATACGGGTTTTTAAAAGCATGGCAATTACACATGGTGCTTGAGAAGTGATGCTAAAGCCAGTTTCATTGGACTAGGTTATAGACCGAGAGTGGCGGAATGTTAGTGGAATACAACCCAAGTCTCAACACGTGGGACGATTTCCAATCTTCCCCGCACCATCTCCGGGGTATGCCACTCACGTTTTTTACCTTTTTTCAAGATAAATGTTGAATCAGGCCCTGAGAGACTCGTGTTTTGACCGTGCAGAACCCTTCGCAGTTCTCCCAGGCATGGATGCCCAGCCTGTGTTGCTCCACTGGGAGTACCGGAACTGCACCACTTCAGTGGCTTTGCACTACTTCGGTCGCTTTGGTCGTGGGGTGGTGTTTGCCTATCCCCACCTGCTTTGACCAGGTGACCACATATTTTGAATGGGAGGATGCCTATGAGCAAAGTTACAACTTCAGACATGTTTGGAGGTTAGAAGTTAGAAGTGGGTGATAGATTTGGGGCGTCGATGGCGACCCCTTTTGGTTCCGGCCGGGATTTGTGATCGAAAAGGAAGAGAACACCTTGCCAGGGCCCAGACAAGAAGGGTTTCCACCAAGACGTGATTGGTAGGGAGTGAACGAGAGTTGGACTCTCTTCTAAGATTATCATTGTAGATCCTAAGGCTCTTTACCATCAACGACTAGTGACCAAGGTGGTGGTAGACGGGTCCTCTTTGTTGAAACAGAGTGGTCACCTGATCCGAAAGCTGTGGCAAAGGGACCTCACGAGAACGAGGTCAAGCTATATGGGACACCAGTACGGTATCCCAAAAGCCTCGCAAACTGTGAACTCCTGGAGAAAAACGGCTCATCTGAGTTTCGCCACCCATCTAATGATGGAATCCTTCCCCAAAAGTCTAAATACCAAAGCTTTTCACCAGCCATCTGAACTTCAGAAGTCGGTCCATCCGAAGTCCCAGTCTCTCCAATCCCTTACCAGTCTTTCGACCACCCCCCCCACTGGCCTCTTCGCCTGGCGCGTTGCAGCCACCACGCAGCCCCAGCCACCAGCCACCGCCCGAGGTGTGTGCCTGGCGTCCGCTGGAGTCTGTCTTCCAGGACCAGAATCTGCGACCGCAGGCGGTGAAGCTGGAGGCCTTCAGCTTCCAGGTGCGGAAATTGGTCTGTTTGTCTACGTGGTCTGTGTGCCTGGCAGCCATCAACGGGCGGGGCGGTACTTTTTTTTGGGGGGTGGTGAAGTAAATTTGTGTGGTTTTGGGTGAATTTCCTGAAGGAGGTGGTCCAAAAAGGCCAGGTGTTGGTGGCTTACGTGACTTTCTTTTTGAGATGGTCCATCTGTTGTTTTGGTGGGTGAAATTCTGAGCCTCCCGCGCCTCGACCTGTGGCTTGTGGTGGGTCTCACCGGGCTCTTTCGATGTTCTCATCGGTGACGATCGGAAGGTTCAGGGGCAGCGGTTCAGCACCTTGATTTAGCCTTGAACATTGCGAAAGGATGCAACATTTTGATATATTTGGATGTGGTTTTCGATGTTTCTTGGTGCGATTTCTTGGATCTGATATGAGCCGGTTTTTGAGCACCTTGCCCAAGACTCAAAAAAGGCTTGGGAGGGCGGTTTTTCTTCGTCTCTAAAAGCCGGGTGGGCTTTTGAAGAAGAGTGCAACTGGTCTGACTTCCGAACCTCTCCCCACCACTCTTTTTGTTGGGAATGCCGGCCCTGGCAGCGACGGGCTTTTTTCGTTGGGCACTCCGTTTTTGTGTGGACCGATACCAAGCACCCTGGGGTGAAACCCCACTCCGCGTTCTTGGAGGACCATATGTGTTCAGTCTATCTTGAAAGGCATTTTTTTTGGGTTCACATGTACTTGGAGGCCGCGCAACTCCCCCGGGCCGCACGGCCCGTCACGGTCACTGGGGACTCGGCGGCCCGTCTAGGCCGAGACGGAGCACCAGTTGCGGGCCGTGGCACGCTACGAGGAGCGGTGGACGGTGCTCATGCTGCGCGCGGTACGCTCTGTGCGTGGAGAAAGCTCCGGTGGCTGGATCCGAGGATACTTTTACCGGGACCAGTTGGGTATACATGGAATTTGGTGCGACATCAGCATACTTTTGAGGAGAGAATGGGACATCAGCAGGCAAAGCTTCTTTAGATGACCTGAAATGTATATAGACTCTTGATTCATAAACCCCCCATATGAAGAGGACGTTCAATTCAAACGAGGGGGAGATATTCATCGAGAGCCTCCATGAATTCACGCCAGCTGCCGCGTCCGTCTCTACCTCGCCGGTCTCGCCGGTCTCTTTCCGCACGACCGACGCGGTGGCCGCTCTGGAGGACTCGGTCTCTTCCACGGCGTTTTTGGTCTTCACCATGCAGGTCCTTCCTCGGCGGAGGCGGTGATCTAGAGGGGGGTCGGCAGGCGGCTGTTCGGGGAGGTCTAGTAGTGGCGGGTAGACTCAGGCAGACAAGCGGGTCAATCTGCATTTAATGTGCTAGTCAGAGTTGATGGATCATCTCTGGACTTCTTCTTACACCTTTGGAGGCTCTTCCGTTTTCCCTTTGAGCCAACCCAGCAGTGAACTTCCCCCAAAACACCATACTGCAATGCCAAGAAGGGTGATGCCCACAATCTTCTTCGGGTAACATCATGTAACATCATGTGACTTCCTTCGAAACTGAACGTCCACACCCACAAACCCATGGTGCGCTCCGCACACGGAACCTCCGCGGGCCGCGGGCCCAGGCCGATGGCGGTGATTGAGGGGCCCAATGTGGTCTCCCAGTCCTGCAGCTTCCGCTTGAGTGCGCTGGAGTCCAATGACGCGCCTGGGTTCGGTGGGTTCTGTGGAGGGAGAGGATGAATGGACTGGATGGAATGGATGGATGAGTGAATGAAGTGACAGGCAGTTGATGAGGGTAGTTGAGATTCTGACTTTCTCAGTTGCGGTGTCGAGATTCATGAGTTTAGTGGGAGTTTCTGCCTCATTATTTTCCGACCTGGGTGCAGTATGTCGTTGCTATGGGATTCGGCTGTTCTATGGCACTCAACGTGGAATGGCCCTGAGTGTGTTTGGGTAACAGCGATCTCTACATGGCATTCTACCCCTCTGTCTTCTTGAGTTTCCTCCAATACAGTCGCTGGCTAAGCTGGTGAGAGTTCGTGTGAAGCAAGGCAGTCGCTTTCGTGTGGTTGGTCAGAAGACCAGGCGCCAAGGACTCATGTTTTGCCTCCAAACTCTATACCTCCTGCAAACCCTTAAGACCTGGAAAACACCCTTAATCCCTGTAAAAACGGATGGCGAACCAGGCGAAGGTATATGCGTCCCACTCGCTTTGCCCAGAACTTTTTGTCATCTAAGAATCTAATCTCTTATGTAAATTTATATAGAATTGAGTTGAATTCTTCGACTCGAATGCTTGTCTCGAGGAAAGGGTCCCAGCGTAAGTCAGCCGCGCACAAACGGAGAAGGAGGCTCGGAAAGAGAAAAGAAAGAGGAAATAAGAAACGAAGAAAGAGAACGAAGGAGAAAAAAGGGAACAGGATGCTCCCAGCTATGACGCAATCATTGAGGGACACCCCCCGGCGGGAAAAAGAGAGAGGAGGGTGAAAGGGGGGTCCCAGCTCTGTCCCGAACATCCAGTGACACCCCCTAAAAGAAGGAAAGAACAAGGAAGAGAGAGAGAGAGAGAGAGAGAGACACTCAAAAAGCTAAGATCGGCACGAGATCCACTCGGATCTCCAAAAAAGCTTGACCCGCTATGGTCCCGTTGTATGACTAATGGCTGGCTGCTCTTGCCCACTGCGGGCTACTCTTGTCCTGCAGAGTGCTCCAGAGTTGGTATGAAAACAAAGCGGCTGTAAAGTTTACGTAAAGGTCCTATCGTCCGCTGTGAACACATGTCGTTACCGTCACGGGATGCACTGAATCTGTAGATCCCGAAGGGCACTTGAATTCCCAGTACTGGAGGTCAGTAGGGCACTTGACTCGAAGCTGCTGACGGGAAACAACATATCATTGGAACAGCTTGTGAACACCACACCTGTGACGCAGGTCACACATCCATAGCCAGTGAATGCTTCCTTCTCTGATCCAAAGTAGCATCAGAGAGCTCTGTCCCCCGCACTGAATCTGACAATTAGAGTCCCCAGACACCCATGACTCTTGGTAGTACACACACACACACACACACACGTGTCGCGTCGCAGCGCGACCCATGTCTTCGGTTCCGTCTTGAGGTGACTTCCGCGGTGCCTGGTGATGTGGCCTTCGTCTATGCTTGGTCAATGGTCGATGATGGCAACGGGACGGATGTGACGCAGCTGCTGCCCCAAAGGAATGCCAGCGTGCTGGAGGTCTTACCAGGGGCCTTTCCAGTGGGTCGCTCGGGCGAAAGGAGGGGGAAGAGTGCAGACGGTTCGTCTCAAGAGTTTGAGTTGGATTGAGTGGAGAGGGGATGAACTTGCTGAAATGACGAAGAACAGCATGGACCGTCCTTCTGCCGAGCGTCTCATCGAAACGCACGCCATCAACCTGACGGAGACGAACGAATGAAAAAGACGCCCAAGAGAAGACGCAGCCGACACCGCGGCCGTCACGCCGACGACGAACGAGGTATGTACACTGTCACTCTTCATGTCTGGCGACGAGGAGAAAGCCCTGCGAACGGTGGAACGGCGCAGTGCCGGTTGCCTTTCGGCGGAGTCGACCTGGTCCCGGTCCCAACAACTGGTTCCGGTCGACGACCGGAGAAAAACAAAGGTGGGGGGGGGGGAAGCTGCAAAGCTGGTTGAGATGACTCAGAAGGAGGCACAGCTTGGGGAAGGTTACCTCGCATATCTCACATCTTGAGATGTTGGTGTTCTTTCTCTCAGATTTTCTACCTCAATCTGGCAGAGGTTCAGGAAATCGATCATCACGCTGTGGAGCACAATGTGTGAAATCACCAGAAGGACCAACCTTGCAGCACTAAAATGGATGCCAAAGTTGAGGATCCAAAAAGATCCACTGTCCTTTTTCCCATTGGCCTCTTCTTTCACAAGCCCTATATCCACCAGCTCCACCAGCTCCTTGCGCACCACCATCGCTTTTCCTGGGCCCCACAACCGCCTGGAGTTCCCCATCACCCAAGGCCCTGCCACCGGAGGATGCCCCGTGGGTGCCTGTCACATCCCTGTCACATCCACTCAGATGGGACGAACCAAGCCCATTCCGACATGGCAGTGGGTCCAAACCTCACCCTACAAAACCCATTGGGTTTCGAGGAAGACATCCCTTCTAGAGGAATCCGTGGTGCTTCCGTCAGGGTTTCTTTCGGTGCTTCTTATCGGGTCTTGACCCGATCGGTGCCATGACCGGACCGGGTCCCTGAGGTCCGTGGGCACCAGGCCTATGCCGGTGATCAGCATCGATTCCTCCTGGATGCCGGGTGAGCGCGTGTCGATCACCGCCGACCTGAGCCTTGGATCAGGTCCGGGTTCTGCACCAAAAGGGGGGGAACAAGGGTGTCGTTTTCTTGTATGGCTTTGATTTTGGGTGCCTCTGGAAACATAGTACCTAATTGCAGCAGCAGCAGCAGGAGGAGGAGCAGCAGGAGCAGCAGCAGCAGCAGGAGCAGCAGCAGGAGCAGGAGCAGCAGGAGCAGCAGCAGCAGGAGCAGCAGCAGGAGCAGGAGCAGCAGCAGGAGCAGGAGCAGGAGCAGGAGCAGGAGCAGGAGTAGTAGTAGGAGTAGGAGCAGGAGCAGGAGCGGAGCAGGAGCAGGAGTAGTAGTAGGAGTAGTAGTAGCAGTAGTAGCAGTAGTAGCAGTAGTAGCAGTAGCAGTAGTAGCAGCAGTAGTAGCAGTAGTAGTAGGAGTAGTAGGTGGAGTAGTAGTGGTAGCAGTAGTAGGAGTAGTAGCAGGAGTAGGAGTAGTAGGAGTAGTAGGAGTAGTAGGAGTAGTAGGAGTAGTAGGAGTAGTAGGAGTAGTAGGAGTAGTAGGAGTAGTAGTAGTAGTAGTAGTAGTAGTGCACATGCATTGGCCAGATGAAGAATGATAAGAATCAACAGTTCATTCGAAACATATTCCTTTCCGATGCGTCCGGATTTCGATCCTGGAAGCCATTCCCCACTGAGCCCAATTGTCTCACCCGCTCCCCGCAGATCCCCGCGTAGCGGGTTTTCCACACTCCTGACCCACTACAGTCCAAAGAGCATGTTCATTTCCTTACTGCAGCGAAGTCAAGGAAGTTCCCCCAAAGGCGAGTTCCCAGAACAGAACCCATGTCAAGTGCTCCACTCTTTGTCCGCGCGGGCGCCGCCGTGCGGCTCTAGGAATCTCACCGCCACAGTGACCAGCAGCGCCAGAGAGTGTCGCTTGGTGCCTTTTGGTGACACGAAGGTGAGGTAGGACGAAAGCTGGAAGAGATGGGGTGGGGTGATCAACCTAAAAAGGAGTTCCCAACTGACATTTAAACATCACTTCTAAAAAACCATCCCACTCGGAGGTACCACCTTGTCAAAAAGGTGAGTTGGCAGTTGAGTTGTCCTCCTAGGAACAAAGATTTGCTGTCAAAGCCTTGCAAGAGTTCTGTATTTCTGGTAAGGCTCCCTAGGGACATTCATGGTCATTTTCCAGGGCGATCTACATGGCTCTCTGCTCTTCTACATGGCTCTCGTCACCGGACCAGCCGAAGGGTGTTCGAGACTGCTGCAGTGAACTGTTCCTGAGAAGGGTCAGCCTCGGACTCAATGTTAGTTTTTCGCTTCCCTCCATTGGTGGGACTGATTAGGGGCAGTGGGATCTTGAACGAGCTTGCCTGCCACATCGGGTTGAGACCCGTCCCTCGATTTCGGAGATGGTAGTGGGACCAAAATAAGTCCTGTACACGAAACTCATTAGAAGATCAGTGTGGGAGGGTCCAGGTCAAAAAATGATTCATCCGCTCTCAGAACCATTCCCAGCTTTTGTTTTCCCCGCACCTTCCCAGGGGTGATTTATTGAGCAAATCCACGACCAACAGGTCCAGTCCCGACGATCGATGAGGCCCGATCGACAATTTGGCGGCCTGGTCCTGGCGTTGGCTCTTGCTTGAGGGCGGCGAGCGCGTCCTCGCGGATGTGGCCGCACACATGACGGGCGCGCAGCTTGGGTCCATCAGAGAGGGTGAAGGGTGGGAGCAAAGGCCAAATTGCAACGCCATGGGGTGAAATGGAAATGTTGAGTTTGGATGGAGCTCTTTAGGGAGCAGGAAGACCAGGCCGATTCGGAGGACCATTCTCTACATCAATAATCAACAATTGACATCATTTGTTTAGACCTACGGCTAGGTGACACCATCCTGGAAGTCTGCAAGATTCTGCGGGCTCAAAGACGGTCCCTTTCTTGTCTAAACTACATGAACAAATACTTTATAGCTCACCAAGGCTCATGATCCTTCCAGGGTGTGGACCTGTCCATGCCAAGACCTTTGGCGCAAAACTGGATGGTGCAGCATCGGCGGGGACCTGGAAAGACACTTACAACAACAAGTTGAGGATTTCAGGTTCTATTGAGGATTGTATCCTTCCACCAGTAATTACAACTTCCTTGATGTCTTTTCTGCGACATGCGTTTGCTTCAGCGAATCCCAACGCAATGTGGGATCATTTGGACCATCCCAGCTGAAGAACGGAGGAGTTCTTTTCGCTCGCTGGCCCGGACGCCCTGCCGCCGCCCAAGCCTGCGTGCTGAGGCAGACCTTGGCGATGAGCAGCTCCAGCTTCCGGACGGTGTCCGTTCGCTCGGGCCATAGCTACGCCTACGCGCTGGCCGGAGTACCAGGCTCACTGCTCGGTGACTTGGAAGGCTCGTTGCGTTGGGGGGGATTTTCCGGTGTGGGGGCCGATTGTCAAAGCAAGCTGCGAGGAGGACAGGTCGCCCGGAATTTGTGGGGTGTTTCAATCTTTTTTAAAGGTGTGAAGTTCAGCAACAGATCTGTAGGATAACAACAACCAGCCAAGAAAAGCTCGTGTCAACGTGTCAGTGGAGAACTCTTCAACCTGTGGGTTTAGCAAGGCCAGCCTCTTCAGTTGGCCTTGTGTTTTCGATTCCTCCATTGTCCCACGGTTGTGATGCCCTCTTTAGTGGGATCCTCCATTCTTGCATCCCAACTTCACTCGTGTCTCTTTTTGTCAAATGCCAAACCGCACCCGCTTGTTCTCGTCGGCCAACGGCATTGAGAGCTTTTGGGAAACGGTGAACGGCTCAAAAGCGGCGCAGATGCTGAGGCTACAGCTTTTCGGAGTTGTATAGCTTAGGGCTGAGCCTTGGCAAATCCCATAGCTTCATTGCCGACCTGCCGCCAGGCCTCCGTTGAGGGAAGTGTCGGACGGGAAGCGTTTGTGGTCCCTCATTGCACTCAGCTTAGACAACAGACCGACCTCATCCGACCTCCGACCTCTAATAGGTTGGGTCCTGAAAGCCAAGGAGTACTTTCTATTCTGAACGCACCACCTCCCCCTCTCAGCCAGCCAGCAACCTCCGTTGTTTGAACCACCGGAGACGTGGCGCCGATGACGCCCACACCGGCAGAGGCCTCGGGCGCGTCCTCGTGGCGCCCTGCGTGGCGCCCTCCATCGCCACGCCGATCACCGTGAGGTGCGGGTCTCCGACGACCAGTGCAGACCGGACCGCTCGCGTGGGAGTGAAGCACGTGGGGAAGAGGGGCGTGGTGAGCGTTGCGGCTTGAAGGGAGAGAGGGAAGGGCGGAAGAAGGGAGGAGGAAGGGAAAGAGGTGATGTAGGTGGAAGAACCGGGCTTCGGGGTTGGTGGATGGATGAAGTGAACAGGTGTCGAGTCATTTATCGTGTAGGGGCCCTACAGGTGTCATTTCTTGGCATCGCTTCGTGAGGTTTGAGATTGCTTCGTCAGCTTTCGTCAGACCTTCCCCGCCGCGTGAAACGCGGTGGATGCGTTTCGCGTTTTCGGTCTTGGGACGCTGACGTTGGGCCACCTGTGCCAAACGCCGCTTTTGGGAACTCGACTTTGGAAGTCTAGAGTCTTGAGCACTGGTGACCTACCGTAGGTATCAGTTATTAGTGGGTTCAGAGTAGATGGTACAATCCCCAGTTTGGTGGTTTATATGAACCCCCATCTAAAGGACACGTAGGAGTTTGTGCCATCTACTCTGAAACCACTGTATTAGTGATTACATATTTTGCACCTGGATCTGGGAATGCTGTTGGCCCTCCCCCTCCTTCTGGACACTGATGCGATTCTGGAGGACTTATGGCTGGGATGATGAAGATCCGGAGAAGTTGCAGCATCCTGGCCTTCGTTTCGCCAAACACCTCACGATCCCCCACCCATGCCTTTTCAGGAAGTCCACGTAGATCTCTGCGCTCGTTCTCTTCTCAATCTCGTCCGCCCTCATGCAACCATGAAGCTCGTACATTTGCAGATCTGAATGGCCAAGAAAAAAGATCTGCATGTGAAGTGCCTACATGGAAAAAGTGGGTGCTCCATTGGCTAAAGCAAAAAGGTAGACCAAATAAGACCCTATATACTGTATTTAAACCATTTTTTTCAACTTCTTTGGCCTTGGTGCTCGTTGGAGCTTGCACATGGCCGAACGAAGTGTTCTATCAAGATCGACTCCTTTCAAATCGATGGGAGCGAAGGGATTCCTTCTGGGCGAAGTCTAGCAGGACTGCCCCCACTCCGGGACTGTTTCTTTTGATGCTTGGTCATTTGTTTGATCTTCTTCAGATCCATCAGCCCCTAGTAACAAGAACGCTACCAGGGGCTCCTGGCATCGCTACTAGGAGCAAGGATGCTACTAGGGGCTCCTGGCCTTACTACTAGTGACAAGAACCTCATCCAAATTTGGTCAGTGACTTCTTTCGAGTCTCTATGGATCCAACCGACCGACCCCACCCTCAGCTCTTCGAGGAGACATTTTCACCTCTTCCACGCCACCCTCGGGACACCGGCCCGGCCTCTTTTGGTCAACATCGGCTCAGCTTGTGTGTTGGGTGTTGGGCCTTGGCCTCAGGTATGCCTTCTACCGTTTCCCTGGGCCCATCGTCCCAAACGGCACGGACGAGTGCGAGACCTTGCCCAGCTTGGAGATTGAGTGGGAGGATGTGGCCTGGCAATCTAGCCAACTGCGAAGTCAGTGGAAGGTGTGGAACCTGGGGCACCCCAAGTGGCCCTGAAGAGCGACGATCGGCCGGACGGGAGGACACTCCAAAACACAGCCACAGCACACCTGAGGAAACCGGTGAGGAAGGTGGTCTAACGGTAGAACCAGCGGTTTGGCGGTTTGCGGCTCGTCTTTGGTTGACTGCGCCATCGGGATATCGCGCGAGATGCGGGCCCAGGTGGCCTCTCCCAGCTATTTCAAGACCTTGGGCGGAGTGCTGCTCCGGGGATGGGCCGGGAACCCTATTGAGCCATTTTTTAGGCCACTCACGGAAGCGATTGGGCCAGGAATTGGGTGATTTCTGGTAGAAATGTCGTTGAGTCGTTGTTTCTTTTTGGAGCAAAAGTGCGGCAAAAGTGTGATTTTCAGACGGATTGGGTTTAACACAGTTTTGTTTGGGGCGAGGAAGAGATCCATGGAATTCTGCCAAAGGGCCGTGAAACACGCCATCCTCCACACCATCCTTTGTTTATTCAGGTGGCCGCAGAACGACGTTCGAGTTCATGGAGCTTTCTAAGACTTCCGTTTGCCAAGCAATTGACCCAGCCCCCATCCAACCCCTATTTAAATGACAACGATGCTTTTCAGGGTGCCTGGATGGCCCAGCCATCTACAGGGATGGCCAGAAAACCACGACGGCCGACAGCTGCCAGAGACTGGAGATGGTAGTTCTTCCACGGGAGGTTTGGCACGTTCCCACTTTCCCGCGGCGGCCATGACCGGTCTTTTTTATTCGCAGGTGGGAATGGCATCTGAATTTTGGACACCCCGGGGCCAAATTTCACACATAGTGACATAGAGGAACTATCCAAAACCAGGGGAACTCCAGATTTTGGAGACTCTGCTGTATTTGAGGTTCTGCAATTCAGGTCTCTTGTCCACTTTCATCCTTGGATGCACCCGCGACGATTGGCGTCGAAAGCACGTGCTTTTCGGCCATCTGCTACCTACTGTGGAAGATGAACCTGAATACAAGGTTCCCCATTTGTTCCAAACACTCAGCAACAACTCAGCACCTTTCTTCAAGAACTCAGTGAGATGGCCATGAACACTGCTCTTCATCTCCCAACCTCAAGCCTCATCCCTTTTTCTTTCTTTCCATCAAGTCTCATTCAGAATCTCCAAACCTGGCGAATCCACCCATCCCGACCAGACTTGGCGGGCTCCCGACCGGACCTGGGCCCCAGGCGCCCTCGCCGTCGCTCACCGGCTTCCTCCCCATGGGCCGCTTTCACGTCCTGGCGCGCGCGCGGGACTCCGTGGGCGGCCAGGCGAGGGAACGGGTGGCGCGGTGCCGCGTCGGGAAAAAGAGACGCGGGACGACTGGGCGGATGTCCGAAAGCATCCTGAAACCACGAAAAGGTTCATCTATGTTGGTTTTTCACGTTCTCAGGAATCGGAAAGGGACATGACATTTACTGCATAACGAACCTCTGAACAAAACACGTGTTTCGTGTTTGAGATGTGCTTTCGGACCTCTGATGCTGTGTCTCTGGAAGTCACGAGTGCTCGTGAGGCGGCCAGCGCGATGGAACGGCTTGCGGTCATGGCCATGCCCATGAATGCCAGCACCATGACCTCACTCCTGCAGGCGGTCCGCCCTCCGGATCCGTTGTTTTTGTGTGATTTCCGAAGTCCAAGGCCTGTGAGGTCCGTTCATAGGCTTTTTGAGGGTTCGCACAGGGTCGGAATGATGGGGCACCCGAAGGCCCAGGAGAAAGCGCCTGGCCACCGGTCTTTGGCCACAGCCGTTGTTGGAATTGCTGGATTTTGCAGGTGTTTGTTCCATCCAGCAGGTGTTTCGAAAAAGCACAGGTAGGTACCAGGACCCTCCAACAATTGTCCAATGGACTACCCCACACTATACCTATAGGCTTCCATTGGGCACCCCTTGGAGGGTCCTGGTAGGTGTTGATTTCCATGTGTTTTTTCCTTCTCTCTTCTCATGATCGATGTTCGGCCTTTCCGTCGGTCGATGTTGGGCCGAAGCAATACGAGGCCTCGGTGGCCACCGGGGATGCGGGGCAGATCTTGACCTCGGTGGAGGTGGGGAGGGGTGATGGGTCACCATGGGCGGTGTGAGGTTGCGGAGGCCGGTCTTTGTTCCACAGCTTGGGGAGTTTCGGAGCTTGGGGATTTTTGTAGGGTTTCAGGAGGGGTCGGACGATGAGTTGTATGGAAGGGTTCCTTTATCTTGGTATTGAAAGAAGGACGACCCATCCTATTTGGAGGTGGTATCCAAGGATTTGGGCAAACCAGGGTTAATTTGATGTGCCCTATCTATCTGGCTTTGAGCCATTGGTGGTAACTGCTGGAAGTCAGCCAGCCATGTTTTTGGATCTTTCTACATCACACAGCAGCTCTTTGCCATTTGAAGCCTTCCTTCCTCTCGAGAGGCTTTAGAGGCCAACACGGCTTTCCATTTCCGGGCGGGTCTTGTTTCAACCGATTTCCCACAGGTTGGTGTTCCTTTTTTGTTTTCGGAAGACCCGCGATCTTGAGATTTCGAGCATATATAAATTGGACGGTGGAACCCTGAAAGGCCACGGTTTGTGGTCCTTTTTTCTTGCTTCCTATACTTCCTTCACCCAAGAAAGGACTTGCCGACGTTCCCATCACTGTGCAGCGCAGAAGCCGACGTTGGTGGAGAAACATTTTCTGCTTTGGAGGCTGTGCTGAGCAGCGGTGCGATGTCGCAGATGGATTTGCTGGATGCCTTGGAGGCCGAGGAACACCGGGGATGCCTGGAGGGTGCGAGCTCCACGATGCGGAGCTCCCCCCTCCCCGAAAAACACGAGAAAACGATCATAGAAACAGATATAGAAACAGTATCAGATAGAAGCTGAAGGCAGATTTCGTTTTTGGAAGACTGTTCCTCCCAAAACCAAAGACACTCCTGACTGTATAGATGGTTCTCAAGAGTCAGCAATCCCTTTTGCTTGTAACACATTTGCAGACGTTTGTAGGGACTATACATGATTCCGTCCTTTCTTGAAACCTACGCAAGGGCCAACGGTTGCTTCCAAACTTTTCACATTCTTTCGTCGTCTGACGAAGGGTGATAAGCCCGACCTCCACACGTGGAACCAATTGTAGACTTGGCCGACCTCCACCCAGAAACGCCAGAGACGTTCATGACCAGATCAAACACCGCTAAGTGAAGACCAGCCAGCCGCCGCCAGCCACGACCGGCGACGGCCACCTCACCAACATAGTTGTAAGAGGTTCCTGTCAACCGTAATCAATCCCCCCTTTCGAGTGAACACGATGAACAGGATTTACCATGTGAATATCACTCGGTCACATGGTAGGACTTATGGCAGCTCATCTCCCCTGGTTCATCTGGTTCACGATGTATCCGATGGCAGCCCGTCCCGGACCTGCCGACCAGGTGGCCTACCACGCCATGGACCGAAGCCCCGAGTCCTTGGAACAGTTCTCCTCGATGATCGGCACGGTGGCGGCAGGCGCGCGCGCGCGCCAGTTCCGCGCGTTGGACGGAGGGGTTGGGAGGTTCGGGGATGCGAGTTGAGATGGAGAAGGAGCCTCTATAGACGCATAAAAGGAGCCTCAGCCTGGGGGCGAAGGTGATTTTCTTGAAGCGTGGGACATAAATAAACCACACGTGCGGGTGTCCCACATGACGTGGAACCTGGACCCTCGGAGAGCTGACCGTCGCCTCAGGCTCTTGCAGCGCACCGTCGCCTCTCGCTCAGGCAGCGGGCCGATGAGCCCCAACGCCACGCGCTTCGCCAGCGAGATGCTCTCGAAGGTGGTCAACGCCTCGGGCTCTGACCGACGGGTGGCCATGGCGGTCTTCGACAGCATCGGCGCCTGGGTATGAGAAGAGGAAGCTGGAGCAGGTGATGAAGTGTTGGGTTATATTATAGTCTTTTGGAATGGGTTGTTACCTGCATTTTGCTTTGCCACTGGTCTTTTTTTGATTTCTTTTTGTGTCTTTCTCTGTCTGTCTCTGTCTCTGTCTCTGTCTCTGTCTGTGTTTATGCCTCTGTCTCTGTCCGTTCTTCCCACAAAATTTGAGGGATTGGGGCCGCCACACATTGGCCTATCCTTTCCTAGCCGGACTCGACTTGGCTGAGTCAGAACAATTGAGGCCCAGACTTTCGTCCTATTCACCATCAACAGTCGGTCAAAGGATATCACTCGCTACGAAATCAGTAGAAGCCTCAGCCATCAGCATCCAGTGGAATCTAGTCATTCGGATATTTTTTAAACGATGTTGGCAGCCTGATGGGTCCGGCTTTACACTCAGCCTGTGATCGACGAAGCCATGCGGAGATGCCGAGTGTGGGTCGTGGTGCTGCTGGCCCACAGAATGTGGTTGGCGATGGTCGGACTGCCACTTCGTCAAATAAGGCTGCCAGAGGCTTGGCACTACACAGAACTCTTTTTGCGTTTTCCAGTCCTTGCAAGGTGGGAACTTTGTGCAATCCCTCAAAACACATGAGTGTGTTGCGGTTTGCCTTAGTATGAATCCTGTTCGAGATCGATACACTTTTTTGGGCATTTCCAAGCTGCTCCCAATCTGAGGTCCTCCGTTGGCTGCTTGGGGCTCCAGTACTGACAGACCCTTTGAAGTTTGAACGTATGGTTAAGGGATGGGAGCGTCCAAGCGCTCCGCTTTGGGAGAAGGTGACAAATCTTCTAGAACCCCAACTGGTGAATTTGCCAGGCGCCAAGATGAAACTGGCCGGATCATATTTGGAAGGCACTGCTGTTTGTGGCTCTGACATGGATATTTGGATTTATACGGATCAAGACACAAGTCCGCGCGATAGAAGCAAGCTGGCACATAGACTCCTCAGTATGAGTGAGAAGGAGCTAAAGCTGCATGGAGTTTTTGAAATCAGGCGGCGCAAGCAGCTAATTGGACGAAAAGCTATCAAAGTTGATCTTGTGCTGGATGATGGTGATGTGGTTCCATTGGATATTGTTCTGGTGAACATCAGCAAAGATGTCGGATTTGACGATCATTACTTGTTTGACTTCACCCAGTGTGACACCCGCGCCGAGGCGCGCACGGCTGTAAATAGTTTTATGTGTGGGAATGAGCCGGCCAAGCTTGCTGTGAGGGCCATGAAAAGACTTGCTTCTGAAAACGGCAAGCCAGTCCTGCCGGGCTTTATTTTGAGCAATTTAGCCCGGCGTCTTGTTCAAAGCTCACCTTATTCCGAGGAACTGTCAGCTCCTTGGACGGCCACAGCAGCATGCATTTTGTAAGGGACCCACAAGGAACAATGCATCCAAAAGGGATCCAGAAGGTTTCCTTTATTCCCTTCGCATCATGGAAGTGGACAACCCAGGCAACCGCGCTATTTTGGAGAGCACGGATTTCTTCCACCCCATTTCTCCACATCCACGATTGTTGGGTTTAAAAGGTAGTAAAGTAACGGCTTTTTCCGGCACTGGCCAAGGCCTTGGAGATCTTCAAAGCACTGACAGTTGCGACAGTTGCTCTCCCTCTTATCGAATTTATCGAGTTCGATCAGCTCAATCTTTCGTGGAGCCCGAAAATGAAAATGATATGGATCTATCGCATTGTGCTGGACTTGCGTGTGGACACCGAAGTACATCAAAAAGATGTTACCTTGACAGGCCGCTTTAATAACAGCTTCAAGAAGGCCCTCCACCATGTGGTCATCAACCTGTGGAAGATAATACATGGTGGACACGGGGACTTCTTTCTTCTGCTCCTCTTGCAGTCGCAAGGGGTCGGCGGACTTTACCGTGAACTTCTTGATGGTGCCAGCTTTTGACGATGCACCACGTTCATGAATGGGCGTTGGATGACCGAGCCAAAGTTGTTGGAAAAGCCGAGAGAAGCTGATTTCAGCATTTGCCCTTATTCCCACAGTTTCGATAGCAGATGGCAGCCTCGAAGACCACTTTACGTTTTTTTTTCTTCCAAGTAGTTTTGCATGGATGTGTTTGGAATGTGTTTGGAATGAGTTTATATATATATATATTTATGAGGCTTACGCCTGACAGCCGGGCGCCGGCCCACTAGGGTCTGTAAACCGTAGAATGGAGGCGGCGCGATAAACGATCTAGGTATTCTAGGTATCTTTTGCTGTCTCTCCCTCTCTCTCTCTCTCTCTTCCTCTCCCTCTCCCGTCTCTGTTTGTCTTCATCTTCGTCTCTGTCTCCGTCGTGGAATGTGTCGGTATGTCGGTATCTGTGTCTGTCTCTTTCCCTATCCCTGCTATAAGGTTGTGGGGGAGCATCGCTCTCCCACCCTCGTGTACGACGGGGCCGGCAGCATCCTTCGCAAGAAGGGGGCTGACCGCCCGGGTGCACAGTAAGTGCACCGAAGGTCGGGTGAGCCGTCGAACACAACCACAGCCAGGCACAAGGTTGCAACGGAGGTTATAGTGGACAGAAAAGATTCCGTTCACCAGAACTACCAGCAAAAGGGTGGAAAACATCTCTTGTACACATCCTACGCAAGTCCGTACGCAGAAGCGTGCGAAACAAGGTCAAATTGGTAGGCGGCGTTCGTTGGAAGGGGCGAGAACTCGAAGACCGTAGAGGTCATAGAAGGTGAAGCCGTAGAGCGTTTTGTTTTTCTCTCTTCTGCCCTTTCTCTTTCAACGTCCCTTGCCGAACGAGACCTTCGTTGAGTTAGTAGAAACCATCACTTGCCAGGAAACCGAAAAGTAACACCTACGTACAAGTAGTTCCCGGGCAAGCCGGCGGCGGAAGTTTCCTATAAGAACACATTGACCTATAGGAGTGTCCACGTTCTCTCCACCATGCGTGTCCCTCGTGTCACTCACTGAGCCAAACACATGCGCTCCGGACTGTTGACACACACACACACACACAGCGCCACCTGTGCAAGGTCTGTGCTCCCTGCAGGATCAGCGCACTGGGTTGTGTCTATGCCAAAGCAAGATCACCAGCCCACACCGGCGTGCTGAAGCAACTGGGCATCTGCAAGCGAAAGTTAAGTGCAGCTGGTGCGGGCACGCGAAGTGGGTGGTGTTTTCAAAGTCAAAATCATGTCTTCATTGTCCAGCTTGCCAAATACTCCGCGTACTTTACAGTTGTACTACAAAGTCGCCAGTTCTCATTTTCCAGCTCCCCAGATACTCAGCAGCGAGAGATGACTCAGGAGCAAGAGATGACTCACCAGCGAGAGATGACTCATCCGCGTACGAAAGTTGTACTACAAAGTCGCCAGTTCTCAGCTTCTAGCTGCACAGATTGCTCCGCGTACTCAAGTTGTAGTACAAAGTCACCAGTTGCTCTCTGGCTTGCTAGCTAGCGCCTTCAAACCATGGTCAGCTACATGTACGGATCCCAAAACAAAAGCAAGTCACACCCAGTCAACCCAGTCCAACCGCTGGTTCTTTCCAAACAGTGTCCCTAGTCATGGTCAGCTATACGTACAGAATCCAAAACAAAACAAATCATACCCAGGCAACCCAATCCGACTGGACGGGTTCCAAAACAAAAACAACATGCGTGTCCCTGGTCAGTCGCACGCCCTCCGGACTTTTTGACCACCACAGTGCCACCTGTGCAAGGTCTGTGCTATACCAAGGCAAGATCAGCAGCCCACACCGGCGTGCTGAAGCAACTGGGCATCTGCAATTGAAAGTTAAATGCAGCTGCTGCGGGCACGCGAAGTGGGTGGTGTTTTCAAAGTCAAAACCATTTCTTCCAACATTTGGTGTGCTCCTCCGTGCAAAAACAGCGAAACTGTTCCTCGTCGGGCAACGCATTTTCCGGCTGTCTGCGCGGTCCACAGTGACGCACGCAGATCGATGCCTCCCGACAAGAGCCAGGAATGGTTCACCCAGCGCCTCTGGCAGGGCTGGACAAGGTGGAACAACGGGCGGCGGGGGTGGTTCTCTAGCTACGAGGGTGGTGACATGACGTTGGTCACACCACCGCGCGTCGGAATGAATTTAGTTACAGAGGATTTCGAATTTACAATTTCCACCGCAACGCAGGTCACAACACCACACGCCACGCAGAAAAGCATGAGTGCTTCAACACTCGCGCACCAACTCTGACAGTCTGCTTGTGATTCGTCTGATTCTGCGTGTTTGCTGTGTCTCTAAACTCACGCTCTGCATTCAGTGTACAGTACATGGACACGGCTGCGGAAAGCTTGCCTTTCGTCTCATGCCTTCATTCCATGCCTACAGCGCAACACGCATCTACAGCGCAGCGTCCCAGCCCACAACTTGCGTACTCCACGCCTGTAACCTTCGTCGTCGTCGAAATCAGCGGTGATCTCTTCAGAGACGACTCAGCAGTGAGAGATGACTCAGCGGCGAGAGATGACTCAGCAGCAAGAGATGACTCCCCAGCGAGAGATACGTCAGCAGTGAGAGACGACCCAGCCGCAAGAGATGACCCTGCAGCGAGAGATGGCTCAGCAGCGAGACATGACTCTGCAGTGAGACATGACTCCGCAGTGTGACAGGACTCAGGAGCGAGAGATGACTCAGCAGCGAGAGATGCCTCATCCGTATACTAAACTTGTACTACAAAGTCGCCAGTTCTCAGCTTCCAGCTCGCCACATACTCCGCGTACTAAAG